CGATTCATGCGTGCAATTTCCCACATCAAATTTGATGTGGGATATCGTATGCATGACTGATTTTGTAAATCACGTGATTGGCTAACTTCATGCATATTAATCAATCTTGGTAAATTTTCAAAATTGAAGATGCGGATGTCTCGACTAGAACAAGCTAACCAGCTCCCTTTTGGCTACCTATACTTGAATAAAAACAGTTAGTATATAGTTCTAGCCTGCTGAGAACGACATGGACTGATAACCGTAGGCTATACTTAGGAAACTTGCTCACTAGCTGCTACAGATTTAGGCCTTTAGAGTAGAATATTGTTAAAAAGGTAGGCCTCTGTAAGTTAGAACTTAAAAATACGCCAAGCCTCTACTAGAGTCTAGGCTAGGCCTACTACTCAGACGAGGCCTGAGCCATCCTCCTGGAAAGTTAAAGTTTTGTTGTATTTGTATGGTATGCCGTCTAGGCTTAATTGTTTTTGCCATTGCCAAAATTAGTCTTACTAGGGTCTATTCTAAATATTTTAGGCCCGTTTTATTAGGGAGGACTATTTAAATTTAGTCATGCCTAACTAGTCGACGCGAGAGGCGAGTGACTCAGTTTCGTGGCTCCAAAAATATGAACATTTGATTGGTTGAAATTGTTTATTTCGGTCCGCCCATTTATCCAAATACGGAATATAAGATTACGTCATTCTTTTGGCATCCTGGTGCCTGACTTCAGTGTTTTACAAGTCGCTTATTCCGTCTATCTCTAAATTAACTTTCTCGTTGGTGGCGCTGTCCAGAATGAGAAAAATAATTTTTAAAAATAAGAGACTTGTGGCAAGTCTAGTTGTTTACGAACTCGTATAGGTGTAGGCGGATCGATTTAGGCTAAGCCAAAATTTGTCCATGCCGGACCAATATTATCCAAGGAGGACTGATTTTGGCTGGCCAAAATCAGTCACCCGGACAAATTTTAGCAGCTAAAATCGGTCCCCTAGACCAATTTTAGCCCGGACTAATTTTGGCGTGACAGGCCTATACAGAATATGGTTATGAAAGAAAATTTTCATAAAAAATCCAGATACACTACAATAATATACACATCTGCATATTGAAGAACAAAAGATAAAATTTAAAAAACAAAAACTCCTGTATAAGGCAGTAGACACACGCTCCCACTGGGAGCCTATTTTTTTTTACTGTATTGTACACCCTTTGCTTAAGTCACATTCTACCTACATTGACAGAATATGTTACCAAACATATGAAATTGTTAATATAGTACTTGAAAAACATCTCACTACTTGTAAATGTCCAACTACCTGAATACGGAATTAAAACAGAACACTTAATAAAAAAAAATGGTTGTAAAGAACATTGACTCACCACTATCAAATGTCACACTAACTTCAGTAGTTTTGCTTGTATCACCAACATCAAGATGTTTAACTTTCTTCAGAAATTTGACACTACTCTCTGCTTTCTTTTTTCCAGTTCGGTTCTCTTTACTCCTGGAGCTTTCTATTCTTTCTTTGGATGATGGTTTCTTCCCTTCTTTCTTAGAGTCTTTCCTTCTCTGTTCACTATCTTTGTATCTTTTTACAATAGGTCCATTTTCTTTTCTATTATTTTTGGTATTGTTTGTGTGTACAAAGCTACGTATGCCTTTCTTATTCATATCCTCATCCGAATCATCAACAAATTCTAGTTCACGAGACCTCATTGGATCTCTACCATGACTTCTCTTGTGCCTGCTACTTGCATAACTCTCTCGCATGTCATGTTTCTTTTGGTATGATTTTTCATCTTTCTTATGATACTGATCATTCCGGTAAGATTCAGTCCGACGACTTTCTAATTTTCTATCAAATCTTGGCCCATACCTTAAATCCTGATCTTTCCTATGATCTCTGTGAAAGTCTCGTTTTCGGCCAAAATTTGGTTCAATATTCTTATTAAATTGCATAGAAGTAACAATTCGTGATGGAGCACTCTCAATTTGGTCACCAGCTCGGTCAATTTTAGCTTGTTTAAATCTAGAATCTGTATCAATATCACTTTCTGAATCGCTCAAAGATAAATGCTCTGTTGGTAAACTTTTCCCTTTTAGTAATTTTTCATTTTTTTTCAAGGAATCATTGTACGGTTTTTTAGTCTGACTTTTTTCTTTTTGCTTATCTGATTTCCTTCGGTCTAAGATTTTGCTGCGTTCTGTTGAACTTAAGGTACTTCTGCTATCTTTCTCTCTTTTGTTGTCTGAACTATAATTATCTTTTTTTCTAACCTCTTCTGACTTTCTAGGAGGTCTGTCATAATTATGTCTATGTTTATTACCTTCGTCAACATTGTTCCCTTTTCTATCACGATTGCCTTGGTACTTATCAGGTACTCTGCGTGAAATTCTATTTTGCTGTCCATAAGAATATCTAGAATGACTCCTAGATGATATATGATCTGTAACATGATCTCTTTTGAGCCTTTCTTTATGCTCAACACGATCACTTCTTTCTGAATGCTTTTTACGTAACTGATTTCGGAGATCCATTAGTCCTGTTTTACTTACAATACTAGGAGGATCAATACTCTTCAACTTGATGTTTTCAGTTTGTAATTTAATTGTTCCATTTTTTGCTTCAGATATATTTTTTTTCTCAATGATTTCTTCAGTAGATTCCTCCTCCAACTGCCTTCCTTCAGATGAGGAGTCCTCATCCGATTCACTTGAGGAAGTGGAGCTTTCCGTTTCACTAGACTTTTCAGTCTCAGATTCTGATTCGCTAGATGAAGCTGAACCATCATTCTCTCCACTACTGTCGTCAGATTCCTCACTCTTGCCACTCTGGTTGACACTCTCATCATCAGAAATATCGCTGCCATCTGCTTCGTCCGCCGAACTCTCAGGGCGATTGTATTCGGGTTCACTCTCAACATCTTCTTCCTCTTCTGATTCAGTGTCTGATTGAAACCGGCTAAACTTATCATTTCTAACTTCCTTTTTCACTTCTGGGACAACAGGTCCATTTGAAGATGTATCTTGTGAACTAAAATCCACAAGTGGGATTGAGATCAGATTATTTCCTCGCACAGCATTGATAGGTGCTTCTGATAATGGTACAGGAGAAGGTCCTCTTGGCTGTATATAACAAAAGAAAAACATTATATTGCAATGCAATCAAATAGAGCGAAATTTACTTTTAACTATAAATACAAATTTTCAACAATGTCTGGAATTATCTACTTTCTTACTCAGGAATTTAGTCTGTGTTTGTTATTGTGTTTATCGTAAAATAACTTATATTTATCACTGATTTATTGTTAAATAGCCGAAATTGTTTGAATATGATTTGTAATAAATGTAAGGATGAATTTAGTTTGAGGTATATTGACAGATGTTGATGGACTAGTCAGGTTTCAAAATGTTTGATTTTTAATTGCATAAGGTTCAATTAATACAAATTATTTACATGAAAAATGAACAAGTATAGCACTCAAAATTCAGAGCAACAGAATCTTTGTTGGAATCAAATGAACTGGAAATTATAAGAATGATTTCAATACATGAACAACCATATTTTTCTTTCTTAAGAATGAACAAATGTCATCATTTGACTCTGAAAAGCAATAAGTTTGAAGACACGCACATCTTTATTCAGGTCATAACTAGGATTCTATTAAAATGAGGTTCCGTATAAGATCCATAGTCCTGGGGACAGACATCCTGCTGAGACTCGGGGAAAGAAGTCCAGTGAGACTGAAGAATTCTAAATAAAACATGTATATGGGTGAATTTCATCGCCATTTAGATGGTCTATCACCCTGGTTCCTAATACGCAGCCCACGGGCCAAATTTGGCCCATGTGAAATACTGAAATTAAAAATTAATAATAATAAAAAAGTAAATCATTTAATAAATAATTTTCCCATTATATGTGAATACATAAACGCAACCCCTGGGCCATGTCCACTAACAATATTAAAGGAACGATCATGTGAGTGAACATGCCTCGTATTATTGCACAAGAGATGAAGATTTGCACGTTAGGTTTGTATGCAAGCTTGTATCGAGTCTCTGAGTAGGGGAAAACCGCTGAGATCTAAAAAAATGTTTAACAACGACTGTCAACAAACGCCAAAGGTTAGTATTGTCAGATCTAGCTATACCTGGAAAAGCATCTATCGAAAGACTTATTAATTGAGTAGACTCAAAATCGAGTTGGTTTTAGGTTTTACTTAATACAGAAAATAGCACTATAGCACTTGCCACCAGCTAATCGTATTTTGCTTCCACATGGGGCTATTTTCCCCCGGATATCTGCCCCAAGTATTTGCCAATGCTTTTTCTTCCTAGTTTTCCCACTGAATTTTTACATCACTTCATTATACAAGGCAGAACACATTATTTACTATTTCTTTTTTTTTGTATTGGTTAATTTTGCTTTGTTTGTGTTTCTCTGTATAAACTAATTCTTGTTTTTTGTTGTTGCAAGTTTACACCATCAAGGTGTGCCTAATGATACAAAAGCATTATCCAATCAATTAACTGACTCTTGATCCACTCGAAATACTGAAGAAACCTAAGACCACATTGTAGAAACGTTATTTTTTGCATCCAGGTTCACAAAAGGAATAAAGGAAAGAAAACAAGAAATCGCTTTTTAACTTTCTCTTTTGCACTATGAATATCACACCCATTTCCTGGTCGTTCTATATATACCCTTATTTGGCTGCATCAGCTAATACTAAGAAAAGAAGCGGAAATATTATGTCTGGTAAGGAGCGGGAAAGGAAGGGTGACAGTACTTTTGCGTTTGAAGTGCCCTTTTTAGTGAAACCTGTTGATTTGTTCAAAAATTCCCCGAGGTCCTTTACTCTTCCTACAGGAGACCTGTGTTTGTACTCTGCCAAAACTTGGCGATCTATGAGTTGTGCTGGCCGTGTAAGAGGGTATTTGCACAAACACTTTGCAATCTTCTTACCTGAGGTGTAACTGGCTGGGGCACTACAGCTTTCTTTGTCTTCAAAGCTGCAAGTCTCAAAGCTTCTAAATTCTCATCTTCATCTTCTTCCTCATCATCCTGATTGTTATTCTCCTGGTGGTTTGTATCCACTGATGGGGATGATTGGTTGGATCGCTGTATAAAAAAAATCAAAAAAACATTAATAAAATGTGGTGGTCAGAGTGGAACTGTAGCATAGATTCTCACAATCCAACCCTAGGTTTCTGGGTTCAAATCCACCAAAACTCATGACTATAATATACCTTGACACTCCAAGCCTTGTATATAGAACTGCATTACAGTATAATGGAATTTATAAGCACTAAAGATTTTGCACCTTGTGAGTGGCCAGCTTTTTGATTAGAATGAAATTTACATAGTTACTATATAGTAATTATTCATCAGTGATTATACTTTTGCAATAAATAGATTTAGGTTCTAGTATTTTACGATTAATTGTAAATCTCTTTTCCAAACCAAGACAATCAATTGAATACTTACTACATTTAATGAAGCTAAAGCAGCAGATCTTAGGGAGGCCAAATCCTCATCATCCTAGTCAAAGAAAAGAAATATATAAAAAATATGTATGACATTGGCTATTGTTACACCAGACTGTAAAATAGGGCTTGTGGGGGAGAATATGTTCCTAGAATTCTGTTCACGCATTCTAGAAAAAAATCTTGATTTCAGAGGTTGAAAAAACCTTTCTATTTTTTTTATCATATAGTGGTGCAGAATATTCTCTTAAGAACATTTTCCAGAAAAAATTAATGTGATACGACAATCCGTTATGGAATTATGAATTTTTAAATAACATGAGGTCGTCAAGAATTCAGCCTCAAAGCTTATTTTTGTTAGTTACGCACCACTTGGGTTGTTTGTCATTACTTCAAGATGTCTACCGATTCATGGAAAAGGTGTTGGGCGATACCATTCTAAAAAATGGGTGTTATGAATGAAATGTGTGTTGGGTATTAAAATGTGTGTGTAATGGTTAATGCCAGTATAACCATGGAACAGTCTTTGTAGGCAGTGTATTGCTGTGTATTATTTAGTATTATTTCTTGGTTGTTGTGTGTGAAATATCTGCATAGGCCCTGATTTCAGTGTTTTATTTTAGTTATACAGTAGAACCTCGATTTTACGTACGCTATGGGACCGGAGGACGTACGTAAATCGGGGGATTTGTAAAATAGAGGTTGGGTTAAATTTGTGGTAACTTTTGACCTAATATGTACGTAACGCTCAATAAACGTATGTAGGAACGAACGATGTTACCTGGGCTAGACCTAGCCTCTAGGCCTACACCTAGCCTCTAGGCCTACGAATAAAACCATGTGTTTAGTGTCTTTATTCATCACTTTACGATGTCATAATAAAGTGTTCAAATAAAACCATGTGTCTAGTGTATAAATTCATCACTTTTTATCTTTTATTTAACTAAAGAACATGAAAATATTGTAAGATTACCTATACGACAAAGGTAAAACATGCCTATTCTAAACAACAGAGCTCTGGTGTTGTCTGGGCCAGTTGAGACAAACTAAAACCATGTGCGCTGCACTGGGCGAGCCAACCAATTAGCGTTGGTGTACGTGAAACAGCAAACACGTGCTATGCACTGGGCGAGCCAACCAATTAGCGCTCTTGTACGAAACTATGTCTACTCAGCTTCGTGTAGAAAATTCGACCAGACGAGTTTTTTCAAGGTTTGCCACACGAAGCTAAGGAGGAAAACAATTATTTTGAGCACCATCGGTAGTTGTTCATCTCACTCAGTTGACGTGGTTTTAGATTATAACAACCCAATATTAGACTCAATCAACGTCGCTGTTTAATGAAAATACGTTGCATTATGGTTTGTTTATTGTTATAGTTTATTGTTATAGTCTTTTTACTTATGGTTGCTC